ATTTCTGTAAATGACATGCCATTAAGGCATTCATAACTGTATGCAGATGATACAACTATATCTGTCTCTTCTGATAGTTTGGATCAGGTAAATAACTGTAGTCTGTTTCAGAGTGACAGAGAACAGATAAAAGGATCTTGCTGGGTGGAGTTTGCATGTTCTCTCCGTGCATGCGTGTGTTTTCTCCAGGTACTCCAGTTTCCTCCCACAGACCAACAACATGCATGTTAGGCTGACTGGTAACTCTAAATTGTCTCTAGGCGTGAGTGAGTGAGTGAATGGTTTGTTGTCTCATTTGTCTCCATGTGTCCCTGTGATGGACTGGAGACATGTCCAGGGTGTCCCCCTGCCTCTCACACAGTGACCCCCGTGACCCGAAAAGAAAGAAGCAGGTAAAGATGATGGATGGTGTTGGGCTCTGAACGTTCTGTCAGACCAACTCAAACGTATATTTCTTTAAATGAGACAATCAACAGAACGAATTATAAGAGATCAAAAACTAACAATGTCCACACATGAACATGACTGTGACTAAAATGAGTAGAAACATCGCAATAATTCAACATAATGTCCATTTTATGTCTCCACAAATAATAACATTTGTCTTACAGTCCTGTGTCACCGGGACTACAGTCCAGCTGTTTAGTCTCCTGCTTCAAAAACATCTGGATAAACTGCAGATAGTTCAAAATAAGGATTAGAACTTGTCTGTTTTTGGAGCAAATGTTAATGGATGAAGGTCAGAGGAAGACCAGTCTGCAGCTTCTCTTTACATAAAGTGTGGACTTTACATGAAGTTCTAGAACTGTGCCGCTCCAGGTGGCTGCATGTTGGAGCAGCTCTGTTACTTTCATTCTGAGATTTTGCTTTTGGAAACTTTAATTCCTCTTTTTCTGGATGTAAATCACATTTTTTTGGATGATTGTTTCCTCTGGTATCAGATGCTGTGCAGCTGGAAGGATTTGTACTGAAACTTTTTTAGTTTTGGACATTTGTTATGATGCGTAACCATGGCAACAAGGCAGTTTTCTACAACCAACAGCAGCTGATTAAAATCGCAAAAGCTCAAATAATATCTCAACTACAGCCCTAAATTTCAAATGAGTTGAAAAGGATGTTCTGTGGACGCATTCTCATCTACCTGCCAGCTGTGCTCGAGTGCCTGACCACAGATCCTGGAACTAGCAGGAAACACGGCTCATGACAGCAGAAGGACAGGATCGTCCCTCAGCACCTACAGCTGGCTGTCCGCAGCGACGAGGAGCTCAACAAGCTGCTGGGAGGAGTGGCCATTGCACTGGGAGGATTTCTGCCCAACATTCAGGTGATCCTGAAGCCCAGGAGGCCAACCAAGTGCAAGTAAACGGATCAACATCTGTGGCCAGTTTTTTCAGATCTGCTATAAGACGGACCATCACAAGAGATCCTTCCCGCCCACAACCATCAACATCTAGAACAACTCTTTTATGAAACAAGGAAAATGAGCTACAACAACATTTAATTTCCCTCTGGGATTAATAAAGTATTTTTGAATTGAATTGAATGAACCTTTGGGCCTGTCCTCACTGTGTCTGTTTCTCCTTCCTGTCCTCAACCCCAGCCGGTTGAAGCAGGCGGAGGTGAGCCTGGTTCTGCTGGAGGTTTCTTCCTGTTCTTTCCACCGTTGCCTTTGTACTAACTCAGGATGGGAGACTGCAACGAAATAAAGACTCAGTGCATCTGCTGGCTTCCTTCCTACCTTAGATAAATAACTTTATAATGAATGTTTCTGTTCAGTGCCCTGAGACGACTTCTGTTATGACTTGTCACTATAGAAATAAACTGAAATGAACTGAATCCCCACTGCAACACGAATATGGAAACTCATTCTGACAAGTGTTTCCTTTAAAAATCACAATAAACGACATGTTACTGTTAACCACATGTTAGAAATCACATGAATAAACTGCACAAAATAAAGTGTAGGTGCTTTACTTTCTATTGCTGCAGGAGTTCCGTGCTGACTCGGGTAAAGTTAGTAAAAGTTTTGACTTGCAAAGCAGGGAGGGGGTTGTGTGCATGAAGCCTAATGAAGCTGTTTTAACTACGTGGAACTGTCATTCAGTCAACCTTTATTTAGACAGGTTAATCTCAATGAGCCTCGGGGACTCATTTACAAGAGACCTGATTTTAATAAAGAATGATGACAACAGTGGACAACAGAGACAACAACTGACAATCATAAAGGATGCGTACAATTATTTTTAAACAAGTGAAAATAAAATTAAAAGGAAAAGTAGCAACAACAACAAAAAACCAGCTTGGTTTTAAGACGGTGTAGAAAACTAAAAACAGGAACATGTCTGCATTAGTTTTTCCCAGGAACTTAACAATATGAAAGCTTCATGAGACTGTTTCTGGTAAACTAGTGTTTACCTGTGAAGTGACAGGTGAGACATGTCCTGATGTGAGCAGCAACATCGAGACAACAAAACTGAACGTCTCCGATGTGATCCTATTCATTTCTGCCTCCCGATTCATCATGA